GATGTATATTGTGTATATTTGAATATAGGAGAGTAACAGAATGTCTGTCAGCATATTGATGTCGACTGTACCACTTCTGAATTTAACCCCCTGACAGATGCCACAAATCTCGAAGCACTATTTTTCTTACCGTCTAGAAAGACGTAGACGTTTATGGAACGTTCTATCCTGAATCTGATGCCTGTAAATACGTGGGTATCATTCACCACTATGTGAACATACGGAAGCCCGCACTAAACTACACCACCATCCCGCTCCCGACAACAGGCCCCAGATATATCTACCCCCGTGAACCCAAGTTTTCTGTGACGCTTATATCGCCCTTATCCTGGGAGGAGATCGATGCCTACGAATTCCCACTGTACGAACACATCACATGCATGGACAGTGTGACGCTGCGCAGCGAAGAGACGGCGTCTGGTATGAAGCCGTTCATCGCCGTGAGCACCATGACGGTCATGGGAGAGGAGACCACCCCCAAGGGCAAGGTGGGTGTGGGGCTGAGGCAGTGTGTATGCTGTTGTATTGTATTGTATTGTATTGTATGGGTGCGTGTGTTTTGTAGTTTATGGGTGAGTGTGTTTTGTAGTGTATGGGTGAGTGTGTTTTGTAGTGTATGGGTGAGTGTGTTTTGTATTGTATTGTATGGGTGAGTGTGTTTTGTAGTGTATGAGTGAGTGTGTTTTGTATTGTATTGTATGAGTGAGTGTGTTTTGTAGTGTATGAGTGAGTGTGTTTTCATTGTATTGTATGAGTGCATGTTCAGCAATGTCCTTGCGGGCCTGGATGTACTTTCGATGCTATCGGAAGACAACTCAGTCACAGTTCTCACAGTGCAATAGAAATATATTGTAAATTTGGTATCTGCAGTCTGACCGCATATTACATGCATATTTGTAAGTGTACATATGTGGTATCTACAGTCTGACCACATAATACTTCATATTTGTATGTGTACATATGTGGTATCTTCAGTCTGACCGCATATAACTTGCATATTCGTATGTGTACATATGTGGTATCTACATTCTGACCACATATTACTTGCATCATTGTATGTATGCATATGTGGTATCTACAGTCTGACCGCATACCACTTGCATATTCGTATGTGTACATATGGGGTATCTACAGTCTGACCGCATATTACTTGCTGATTTGTATGTGTACATATGTGGTATCTACAGTCTGACCACATATTACTTGCATATTTGTATGTGTACATATGTGATATCTACAGTCTGACCACATATAACTTGCATATTTGTATGTGTACAAATGTGGTATCTACAGTCTGACCGCATCATACTTGCATATTTATATGTGTACATATGTCGTATCTACATTCTGACCACATATT